GGGGGTGGGGCGGGACCTGGGTTAGACTGGACAGAGAAGGGGTCTGTTCCTCTCCATGGAGGGGGCACGGGGTGGGGAAGGGGAAGGAGGTGGGAGAAGGTGAAGGCAGGCCCGACCTGCGGGAGGTGGAGCGAGAAGGGCAGGGCGGCAGGAGACAGACAGACACAGACAGACAGACACAGACGGACAGACAGAAAAATACAGAGGTGGCCGAGGGGAAGGGAAATTGGATGGGGCAGACAGAAAGGAACGGGGAAACAGAAGAGAGAAGTGGTTAGTGACCTGGAATTCAGACCAAGTTGCCCCCTTCTCCCACCCACAGGCCCCCTAACACCTCCCCACTCCCACCCAGCAGCCCTTCTCCCCTCAGCAGGCGCCAAGGCTGGGGGTGGGGCCCAGATGTGGTTCAAGTCCAGGGCCCAGCCAGAGGAGAGGCGGGTCAACTCCCCAGACCCAGCATGCACCCTTCCAGCTGATGTATCCCTCCCAGGCAGGCTCTTCTCAGGGACTCAGGAGTCCCAGATCCCACCTCCCTGGGAGGGAATGAGGTAGACAAGGAAGAGAAAATAAAAATACCAAGTCATTAATTAGCAGGAAGTGGCAGGTTTGTTTATACGTGTTAATTACTCCTGAGCTGTAATTTCATGGTGCTGAACCCCTACCCCAGGCCAGACTCAGGCCTTTCTTGGGACTGCACAAACCCAGCACCTTATCCCCATTTCAACACACCATTCGTTAAGGATTTGTGCTGCCCAGGATCCCTCTCTCCCCAGACTCTCTCCATTTCCTCCCTCAGAAGTTGGGGTACCTTGAGACTGGGGTTAGAGTAGGGAGGGGACGCTGGAGGGGCAAATCCAGGGACAGATGCGTGATCCTGCAGCCGGTTGCCGGGTGACGGGATGCTGCCCCGCAATGTTACCTCGGCAACGGGCTGCAGCTTTAACCCTGGAGGGGGGGTCTGGAGGAAGACTGGAAGGGGCTGGCTTGGTTTGGGAGTCCATTCAGGGCATGAAGGGGAAGGCAGAGGCATAAGTCAGAATGCAAGAGTTCCCCCCAACCTTAGCATAGAGGAAGAAGTACATATGTTGAGAGGAAGGGGAGATTGGGGGCACTAAGAACGCTAAAAGCCCTGCCTGTTGGCCAATCAGAGCCTAGCATTAGTGACCAGGCCTCTGGCTGAGGAGAGGCGGTGCTGAGGTGGGCTCCAGAAGACATCACAGGAGCCTACTGACTGCCCCCTCCAGCAATTTCAAGCAACCTTGGACCCCACCATCTCTTCATCTTTGCAAGCCATTGTGACCCATGTCCTGGGGGCAACCCTTAGCTTTCTTCTCTTCCCATCCCAACCCATTCATTCACTTACCCTTCCCCTTGCCCGCCCCCCCCACAGTTGCTGCTCTGATGCCTGGGTGCTCAGGGCAGCAGGGGCCAGCCAAGGGAAAAGATCAGACCGGAGGGGCAGACACCCAGGTCATTTCGGCAAGACCCCCCCCCCCGTCCCGTCCCCCCACCAGCCGCCAGAGCTGTTTGCTGACGCGGGGTTTTCAGAGCCAGGCGCCAGCCCGCGGGTGGCTCTCTGCAGGTGTCAATTTATTCCAGAGATGAGGACACAGGAATCCTTACCACACACACCCAGTCATGCCCCCTGCCTTTCAGCTTCTCTAAGGCTCCTATTCCCCCATCACCTGGAGGTGGCTCAGGGCTGATTCCCCCAGCATCTCCTTTTCCTGTGCCAGACTGGGCCAGTTACCATGGCCTTGCTGCCCCCTCCCCCTCCCCACAACAAGATCTGCCTCAGTCACCCTCTCCTCCTGAAGGTACTCTGGGCCCCGGCCTCCTCCCACCAGCCAGCTCCGCTCCCTCCTTCCCTCCCACTGGAGGCCCCCCCATCTCTCTCCTCTCCGTAGCGCTCCCTGGGAGCATCTTTCCTGGGCCTTTTCCAGCTTGCTCCAGGTCTTGCCTTCAGTCTCTCACCCTCGGTCGTTTTACATCTTTCTCTTCTGTATCTCTCTCCTTGGTGTTTCTCATTTCTTTCTCTCTCCTCCAAATACCTTCCCCAAATTTCCCCCTCAAGCCTTCTGTCTCTCTCTCCTGTCTTTCCCCATCTCTGTCTCCCCCATTTTCTCTCCCCATCTCTGTCTGCCACATCTTGCTCCCTCCTCCTTCTCCCCATCCCTCTGCCTTCTCTCTCCATTCCTGCCCAGGCCTGACTCCCCCAGCCGGGGAGAGTTGAGGGACGGGGGCTCAGGCCGCAGGCCCCCCCTTCCTGCAGTGGTGAAAATGGCTTGGCCGGGAAGGGGAGAAGGAGGGGGAGGGGGAGATGGGAACACACGGGGTCTGTGGGCCCATTCAAAGGATCATTCATGGACTGGAGAGAGGCAGAGACAAAGAGACCAAGACGCAGAGACACGGCGAGAGCATCCCTAGGCGGAGACACGCAGACAGAGCAGGCTGAGGGAAACCAGGCGCAGGGAGGGAGATGGGGAGAGGGAGACCCCAGTGGACCGCCACGCAGCCCCCTCCACCGACCCGGCTTAGGTCCTACCTGGCTCAGCCCTGGGGCCGTGGTGCCTCCATCCAGGGCTCCGAGTGGGGGGCGAACGGCCTTCGGGAGGGGGCGGCGGCCTCTGAGCCCCCGCGGCCCCGCAGGCCCAGCCCCCGCCCGCAGCGCCTCACCCGGCGGGGGAGGGGGATCGCCCCAGCCCCGGGGGGCGGGGCCGGGATCCAGTCGATCCCCGGGAAAAGGAGAGCTAGGGGATGGGATCAGGGGGAGCCCGAGAACAGGGAACCCCGCAGTAGGGACGACAGAGAAAGGAGGGGACAACGGGACAGGACTAGACTGAGGATCCACTGGTTCCGTGGGCCGGCTTCGAGGGACCAGAAGGCGGTCCAGGCGGAGGATCCTAAGGATCGGGTGCTGGAGGAGGAGTCCACGGCAATCCCCAGGGGCCCGGGGCCCGGGAGCGCAGGATCCGCGGTGCAGGGGCAGGGATCCAGCCGGAATCCTCGGGGAGGGGGAGGGATCTAGTCGATCCCGAGGG